TTCGTCACTTCTTTACTAAGACTAGTATCAGATTAGACTATTGGTACTGCTTTTCCCCGATCAGGAAATCGAACCGATACACCTTGCTCTGTAGTAACACGACCACACAACTAACGAGAGCTTACATAATTTAACTTTTCAAAAATAAAAGTCTAAGTAATAATAGAGAAAAGTCTAGATAAAAACTTGTTGAAGGATACGGGCGCCGTCAACTGGGACTGGTCAGCTCCAGACTGTATTATTTATTGTCTTTAAGGTTATTTCCTTATTCGATCTCTTTGACTGGATTTTGGTGTTACATTGTTCTCGCACAATCGCACCAATAAAACCGTGTAACTGGAGAATTGTATTGTGAACCTGATTGAAAAAGAGTAACCTATGGAGTTTCTTGCTCGTTCTTCTCCAAAGGAATCTACACCTTGGAATGAGCAAATAGCTTCGCTTTTCATTTCTATTGTTGACGTTCAAAAGTGCCTTCCTGGTCTAATTGAAATAAATGATTTTGACTTTGACTTTGATATAGTAAATTAAAATATAGAGATAATATTGGCAATTGTCCAGATATCAGCCAATAATCAGCAATGGTTGTATTCTGGTCACATAATATGCAGGAACGTTATGAATCGTAATTCAAGGTAAACCAAGGTTAACCTGTATTGACATCAGGGGGTTAAACATAGTGATTCATTGTGCTCCTGAATTAGTTATTAAAGATATTGTGTTTTGAATGTAACGTAAATTGAACGCAAAATTTAGAATCTAAACTATCTTTCACTCTTTTTGGAGTTTTTATTTAAATGTGTGTATGTACTATAAAAATCAATGAGGGCGCCACAGGTCGTAGGTGTTCACTTCTGACAGATCACTACATAGTATAAAACAAAGTCGCTATCCGCCGTCTGTCTGTTCCTATGTATGCTTAGATCTTTAAAACTACGCAACGGATTTTGATGCGGTTTCTTTTAATACATAGAGTGATTATTAAGGAAGGTTTATATGTATAATACATGCATATTGCACCCGTGCGAAGTCAACATTCGAGCGAAAATATAATCTTAATTTTATAAAAATTGTCCAACTTCTTGTTCTATTGGAAATCATTTTATACTTCAAATACAATCAGTGGAGCTTCACTCCGATTGTTCCTTTGCATGTTGAATAAACTTCTTCCAAATTTTATTCACATAAATTCCAATCTAGTAAGTTTTTTTTTAAGGGTGGAAAATCATCGAATGACTGCTCCCGCCTGGGTGAGGCGGTGTCAGACTCTTACTGACTAAAACCCACCCCGTTCCTTCTCCTGCACATCGAGCCGGAGCCCGGTAACCCGTTAGGTTCTCCGCGATAATCTAGTAAGTAAGGTAACTCAATCACAGCTGATTACAATCAACGTACTTTCATTGAGTGTTATTGTTTTTTGTTTGATAGGCGGACATTTGACCACTATCTCGCCTGGTGGTAAGCAATGATGCGGTCTACGATGGAGCACGTCGACCGATAAGCAACCTATTCACTCGGGCCTTGAAGACTGCTAGTTTATACCCTTCAGGAATTCAATGTTGCCATAGTTTGAATGTTGTTAATTCCATAATTAATTAAAATCGCGTGTTACTCACGCGAATATACTGAGAAAAGCTCTACTAGTTTCGAACCACAGAGGGGTTCTTCCTCATGAGCAGCGTGCGCGTTCGCGGCGAACGTCGCCCAGCTCACTCAGTGAGCGACCGCGATTTTAGTTAATTTAGTATACCTCACGATAGTTAGTTCCTCAAACATTTGTCGTCATTCTTAAATTGACAAAGTATAGTCCTATGTTTTTATAACTTATCATAGTTATAATATTCACACACACACACACGTACACACTGAAAACATCCAATTAACTACCACTTACTTATATAATAATAACTGAAGCTCTTCTTTCTCAATAGTATAATTTCAAGGATCAATACTAGTTGTATAGGAAGGGAATATAAGTATCTACCCACGTAGGTTCTTGTTCTAATTTGTTGGGAAACAGGTCATGGTCGTAACTGACGCGATCTTCCTTCAAAAGGCTACCTTAGTAGTTAGATGGTATCTGTTAATTGGCTCTTAATATCTAAAATAAGAATTAGTTTTTATTTTTTCTTTAACATGAGAGAGATGGAATTGTATTTGCTTTTTGATAATTATGTTATTAAGTCCTAGTGCTGTAAAGGGACTTATTAATTACGTAACAAATCTTTTTACATGAACGGGCAGGCTCGACCGGAGTGATAACACGGCCTCACAGAAAACCGACGTGGAACAACAACGCTTGTATTGTGTTTCGTCGTGTGAGTGAGGTTGCCGGAGACCCAATTACCCCACCTCACTTCCAAAATCCCTGAATCCCCAACATTCCTTAAATTCCTAATCCCCAAAAAATTGGTAACGCTGGTGTTCCAGGTGTCCATGGGCGACGCCGATTGCTTACCATCAGGTGATCCGTTTGCTCGTTCACCGGCTTATCCCAAAAAAAATCTAACGCAGCATGACATTTTTCTTCAAAAAGATAAATGTGATGTGGGACATATTCAACGTAATCAATGGTCAATTATTGCGACATTTGTCTAGCAAGATCCATTGTAACTAAACTCAATACTATTGTCGTACATCGGTCACAATTCCAGTTTCAATCTAACATTGCAAATTTGCCAAAACTGAACATCACTTAACTATTTACACGACGAAATACGATTCCATATATAATCCTGTGTTCTATACGATACGAAATGGAACAGAATTCCTAACCCCTCGACCAACGAAACTAAACTAAGTCTGAACATGTGACTTCTACTACTCAGGATACTTCAAAATGGATGAAGCATTTAACAATTTACTGAACAGGTCACAAGTTCAATTTTAACAAAGATACCAAGATCAAAGATCGCCATTGTTAATCCAGTATTAACTATTAATGGTTTATTGTTAACTAAATCTTTGTCTATAACACACTGATGTTGCAACCTTAAACTTTATATCAATGCCGTTAGAATGGGCCAGGGAAACCTACCAGGTATAAAATAAGGCATACAATTTTGTGATCATCATAAATTGTCTGGACCTGCCTTTTTTGTTAAGGCGAAGTTTATGTGCCTTGTCTTATCACCTGATGGTAAGCAATCGGCATCGCCCATGGACACCAGGAGCGTATCCAGTGAGTTGCTGGCTGGAGGTTTGGAATTTGAGGATACTTAAGTCAAAACCAAAAATTATCTTTAGGTAAGTATGTTTTTATAATAACTATTGTGAGACATACTAAATTAACTAAAAATCGCGGGTTACTCATATGAATATATTGAGAAAAGCTCTACTAGTTTCGAACCACAGATGGGTTCTTCCTCATGAGCAGAATGTGCGGTCGCAGCGATGTCGCGCAGCCTACTGGCTGTAGTAATTTAGGTAAGTATTACTTTAGTCTAATTCTTTAGTAATAGTTAACAGGTAATTAGGTTACACAATTTACAATTCGATTTAATTAACAAACACGTTTTGGTAACACATTGGATATCATCATCATCATCAACAGCTTATAAATGCCCACTGCTGAGCAAAGCCTCTTCTCACATGGAGAAGGTTAGAGCAATAATCACCACGCTTGCTCAATGCGGGTTGGCGATTTCAAGCTTATAATTAGAAATTATAAGCCCAGGTTTCCTCACGATGTTTTCCTTCACCGTTGGTCAGTGGTGTCTAAATAATCTTAGAAAGTACATTTAACTCGGAAAAAGTCACATTGGTACTTGCCGTTGGTAAGTTTCGAACCTGCATGAGAAGCAGGTGTCTTCAACCTCCGGGCCACCACGACACTCGCCACCTCACACATTGGATATGTGTGAGAATAACTGTTTCTTTTCATTCTTTCTGGTAATCAATTTCCTTTTTTGCTCCTCCCAACAATGATGATGACTTTGTTTAACTAGATTCCACTCAAAGGTAGAGATTTATATGAAGTGCGGCTGCCGGGTAAGGGGTCTCGGGTACGATTCCCGGGTCGGGCAAAGTATCATTGGGTATTTAAAAAAAAATTCTCAGTGTTAGCACGGAGTATGGAATTGTGCCCGGTATATGGCAATAGGCTCACTCATTCACTATGGGACTAAACAAATAGTGGAAAGTGGGTGTTACATTGCACAGTGGCACTAAGTGCCGCAATGTGCACCTCTGCCTACCCCTTCAGGGATAAAAAGGCGTGATGTTATGTTATGTTATGTTAAACTGCATTTTGTGTTAAGGCCTTGACCCAACCATCTAAAATAATTTATCATCAGGTGTTAGTCTTTTTGTTAGCTTTATTATTATGTAACCACATAAATTCACCTTAATATTTGTAAGCATACTTCGAACAAATCGGCTCCATTGAGGTCAAGGTACAGTCTATGCATTGTTGATTTTTCTCTTAATAAAATCATGGAGGCTGGTATGTAGTGTTAGATACAACTTGAGTTATGGTAATGATGCTATGTTTATGTGAAGATGTAATTATGGTTGAAATATTGAAAAGGACTTTGTGTTGTGATGTCTTGTTTGAAAATTGAGATAAAATGAATGGTTTCGTGGTAACTGACGATTTCATTTTACACACATTGCGACGTGTTGATTTCTAGGATGTGCAAGTCAAATTAAGGCTTTGCTCAAAATCGGAAATGAGATCAAAAGATTAATGAAATCATCGTTATTGATAGAATGATTCACTGTATCCTAAAGACAGGTCGTGAACGTGTGCAGTGACAATATATAATTTTCTCAAATAAAAGTTAGTAAAACTTTACAATAAGCATGCCTGAGCAATTATTGTGTACTATTAATAGAAAGAGATAAAAGAGAAAGAATAAATCTTTCCGATGCGTTAACGAGTGTCATAGTCAAATCATTAAAGTTTAAAATAATTGAATCAACATTTAAGTTACTCCATGGTCATGGTCGTCCAATAAAAATCAAAGAAAAATATAATAAGGCTATAAATCTAGACTCACCTATCAGTCTGCCTGTGAACGAGCCGCTGCATCATCCAGGGTTGCGAGAGCGGCGGCGGCGGCACCAGCCCGCTGCCCAGCGCGGCCAGGGCTGTCAGCATCTGCTGAAACTGCACACACATGTCCGTGTAGCCCTGCCGTTGTAACATCGACATTAACAAACAATTTATAAGAACTGTGGAAATTTTTTCTTTTGAAACCCTTTCCATCACTAGATTACAGATTTATTTTTGTAAGTACTTTGTTTTCTTATTCTCGGCACATTTTTGTACATAGAATTGACTGAAGATTACTGTATCTGGATTGTGTTCTATCTCTGTGTTATGTTGTATCTGGATTTGTTTAGCAACATTGAGGTGATTATTATTCACTTGTGAAGGGTAGGTAGTGTAACAGCCATGGGCCCTTTGGAATATAAAAGTAAGTACACAAATCTAATAATCTATTCGGAGCCCGGAGCAAATATTTCCATTCTTTACACATATTGCCTACATGTCTTATGATTGTTAAAAATATGGCTAACAAAATGAGGAAAGATATTTCAAATATCACAGTAGCTACTGCTATTGATGTGTTTTTTGAAGAATTTCAGTTTATTTATCACGTTAAACGCCATGGAGGTCACCAGTGACCGGCGTTAGCGGAGGATTTACCTTCAACAGTTTTTTATTGGCAGTCAAAGCCTTATTTGTTCATTCGCATGATGATCGCGTATTTATAACAAATATTTAAAATGTTCTTGAATCAATCATACCTGTGCTATAGTTTGAGGGTTCTGCGCCTGCAATTGTAGTTGGAGGAGGTGCTGCAGCAGCGGCGGCGCGGAGGCCGGGCTTTTTGCGCCCGACACCGAACTGCTGTCTGACTCCGACGCGGGACTCTGTAGGAGAAGATAATAGAAGTTCGTAAGAGTTTACTAAAGGTGGCAACTGAGCAGACGGACTTGACGGTAAGCAATTGGCGTCTTCAATGGATACCCAAAACCAATCCCGGATGATTAAGAATTTAGAGATTAGGGGATTAAGAAATCTGCTTCTAATAAAAGACTGAGGCTCGAATACCTACTGAAATCTAGTCTTAGAAATCAATCTCATCCATATTAAGCCCCTATAAAATTTTACCGAATGAAAAAATACACTTTCAGCGCATAAAAAACAGCGTTAGAAAGTATAAGATATTAATTATTTACATTGCAATGAACGTTATATTTAACTGTCTCATGAAAACTTTCATGTAATTAGAATTACATTTTATTGTAGATAGACATAAGAATTACTTTTCGTTAGCTATCTTATTGTGACTAACAGCCAGTTTCAATAACCTATCTATCTGTAGATTTGCATACTAGAGATAGAATTTTGACTTAAGCTCCATACAAAAAGTGTCAACATTCTATCTCTAGTAAGTAAATCTGAAGATAGATAGGTTATTGAAATTGGACGTAAGCCGACAGTGTGTGACGTCATATGTCACCATCTTTACATCTTCCGCTGGTGTCGTAAGATCAACTAAGGAACTGCATGTTCGACAGATTTGGAGCAGCATGCAGTGTTTTCTAATACACCAGAACCTTTTAAACTGCAGCCTCCAACCTACCTTCTACTATGTTCGATGATTTTCTCCCCTCAACAAGAAGATACCTGCCTGAAGATGTCCAAATAATAGTTAGAAAACCCTCTTTCATAGAAGACCTATTTTGAAAACAAAACTGGTCACTGCCATGTTGCCAACGAGTAAAGATTGTCCTCGTGTAAAATAGTCAAGATTACGATATTATCCTTTGAAGCAATCAATTTAAATCAATGGAAATCATAATAGGACTTAATGCCGGAAACCTTTTAACTATCAATTAATTAAATAGCTAATCAGCACGTAATCTGATGACGCCATATAAATTAAAAGTTTTACAATCGACAAAGGATGATTTCGTTGTCCGTAAAAGATTTATTTTTTACGCTATGACAATCATTTTGCATTGTGCCAATAGCGATATTCGTTTTCTTTGAACGAGGAAATCTTTACAAAGTTAATAAGAAAGAAAGAAAGAAAGAAAGAAAAACCATTTATTTTGCTACGACACACAACAAAAATCAGAGTAAAATAAGAGTTTCTTTTCTAGATTTTTCGATATCTATCATAGTTTAAAACTGGTTTTTAGTTTGTTTGTGTTTTCTTAGATACTTGTGTCTGGTATGCAGTTTTCCTTGTGACTGACCGTGAATTCGTTTGAAAGTTGTGATCGTGGTATTGAGTAAAAATATGGTGTTTTGTATTTGTTGTCTATAGGAGTGAGTTAGTATTTGATGGTGGATGAAATGAGACTGCTTTGGTATCGATGAATAATTTAAAATACTTACTATTATTTGACAATAAAATAAAGGGCTTACTACGAGTTATGAGATCGAAACGTTAGCGTGTTTCGTGTTGATTGGCTTGCTCTAATGAACCATCCAATCAGAGGGCTAAACTCAGTAAGATTTCGATCTTGTTAAACGTAACAAAATCTAGTATTAGTCCTTCAGGTGTAAATGATATTTGCACACATAGGTATAGGTATAGGTAGATTCCAATCTATAATGACAGCAAGACCAATTTCTTGCTCACGAAGCCTTAAAAAATAGATATTAATTTTCCTTTCTTTACACAAAGGTTTGTCTTTAAAGTAACTACGAACTTATCAATTTCTTTAAAATGAATAAAACATGACACTGTTACTACGTCTATAAATTAAACTAAAGTGTATAATGCAATGGCTTTATAAGTTTAATATGTTGTAAATATACAATTTGTAATCAGCAGGTGACTACGAGGACGTGAATAAAAAGAACGATATTTTAAACAATCTACTAGCAATAAAAATAAATACTTAAATGTATGTAATTGGTGAAATTAGTTTTTAAAGGGACTAGGGAAGCTAATTTTTAAATAGCCGTAAAATAGAATACCAAGATTTTATTCATTCCGGAGCTGTGCACAACTTAACGGGTTACCGGGGCTCCAGCTCATAGCAGGAATAGGAACGGAGCGGTTTACAGTCAGTAAGAGTCTGACACTCTCTCGCCATACTCAAGGAGAAGTCACTGGATGATATCTCCCTTAAAAAAGGACTTTTAGTCATCTGAATAAATCGAAACTAGTCGAGTTCCTCGTCAAATAAATATATGAGTAGACGAAAAACAATAATATTTTTTTACGTCTCAAGAAACTTATAACACTTATTTGGATTGGTAGTTGTAATCAGATTTGACACGTTAAACGCCATGGTTTCATCAGTGAGTTAATAGAGGAAGATTTGCCTTCAACAGCGGTTAGGCTAAAGTCAAAGCATCAACAGAATTTCAGTATTTTCTAGTAGAATGTCATGCCTTTTTTTTTAAGGGGGATAATCATCGAATGACTGCTCCCGCCTGGGTGAGGCGGAAGGGAGTGTCAGAATCTTACTGACTAAAAACCACCCCGTTCATTCTCCTGCACGTCGAGCCGGAGCCCCGGTTACCCGTTAGGTTCTCCGCGACTCCGAATCGGCAACAGCCCTTTTGGGCCCCATCTGTGGTGGTCTGATGGCTCTTTGAGGCGCGCGCAGAATGTCATGCCTTACATTGCATGACGAATCCCTACACTAGGTATGCCTTCGATCTCTTTGACTGGATTTTGGTGTTACATAGTTCTCGCACAATCGAACCAATAAAACTGTGTAACTAGAGAATTGTATTGTGAATCTGATTGGAAAAGAGTAACTTATGGATTTTCTTGCTCGTTTTTCTCCATAGGAATCTACACCTTGGAATGAGCAAATAGCTTCACTTTTAAACTTTTATGGTTGACGTTCAAAAGTGGCTTCCTGGTCTAATTGAAATAAATGATTTTGAATTTGACTTTGGCTAATATAGGTAGGTGACATTTAACGATATTTTGGTTTTCACCAATCTATAAGTGATGCCTTACAGCCTACGAATATGGGGTTAGTTTAAGTGCCACCTCACTCTAAGTAGCTTTTAGTTAAAAGATAGTTTAAGGGTAGTTGGCAAAAACGGCCATCAATATTGTACATTCCGCAGGTTCCCCTACGGAAACCTTGTTACGACTTTTACTTCCTCTAAATGATCAAGTTTGGTCAACTTCCCGGCAACGCCGACGGCCGTGAAGCCATCACGTGTCGGTCCGAAGACCTCACAGCACTTCTTTGGCAAAACCTTTTGTTTATATTAAAACTCTCGTGAGATATACTAAATTAATTATTATATTTTCGGCTTGCTTAAATTACTGTTTAACGAGGAACTCGACTAGTTTCAAGCCATGCTAGAAGCTCATATTCATAAGCAGCATTCCGTGACACGCGACGCGGCGATTGTCGCGTTGCTACCGCTGTACCTGCTCCCTGCTGCTCATGAATGAGCCTCTAGAATCAGGGCCGCGCCGCCCCTGTGTGCGAAGTGTGCGGCGCACACAGGCGCCAGGACAATCGGGGCGCCGTGTCGCGCTGCGTCGCGGCGCTACCTCTACTTTATTTTTGTTACCTAAATTATTGTTTTTTGTAGTAGAGTATCGATAAGTAAGAAGGTACAATAGGCGCAACGTAGGCCTTGTATACAACAAAACTTATATTATGCTTATTAAACAAGTCTCTCAATATTTAAGTATGTTTATTATTATTCACGTTTATGGTTTCATGCTTAAAGTTTTAGTTTACATTGCTTACGTACGAGTTACGAGCTCAAAGTTGTAACGGCGGCAGTTCTTTTGAACCACAGATAAATTAGGTACTAGTTATTTTGAACCGTAAAGGCGTCGAGTTTGTATGAGTAGGTATGAGTGAGATTATAAACGCAACCCGATGCGAGGCAAGCGGGGTATGGTCACGGGGATTCCCCGATTTTAACGAACGAGAGAGTCAAGCCAAAACAAAACAATTGAACAATCATTTGACTGAAAGTGTGTGTAAGGTGCGCATTGAATTTTTATCATAAGTAGTTGGTGAGTTACTAATTGTTTTAAAGTATTTTCACGATGAGTGATAGTAATAACACGGTATAAAAATATAGGCATCCTAGACTGTAGTAATAATGATAATAAAAGAAATCTGGTTACCAGAATCTAATAAGGAAAAGAAAACAAGAAGAACATAACAAAAATGCAACTAAAATAAGTAAATATTTTACGGCCCTACCATCCACGTCGACACAATCATTAGAGACAGAAACCAGTCATGTTAGCGATGAAAGTGTTACTAAATCAGATTCAAAAAACGCTTCATGTAGTGGTACGTACTTTTTATGACATTTTATATACAAATAAATATAAATTCTGTTTGGGATAATAAAAAAAAACTGTTTTTTTACAATTTTGAATAGATAAATTAACTTTTTTTCCGGCAGTTTTAGAGATTAGACGTAAGGAACAGACAGACAAAAATTTAAAAATATGTTATTTTGTTTTATGCACTTACCGTATTTTATGTTATTTTTTACTAAATGCTACCATCCATTACCATTTAGAAAAAAGCGGTTATTTTAATATTGCACACAGACACTCTAATTTGTATAAATATAAATAATTATTCATAGACAGATTAAATCAGTTTATTCAGACAAGGAGATAGACTCATGTGAACAATAATTATTATATATTGTTTGTCTGTTTTTAATTTAAATGCTACTTTGATCCAATATTTAATAGAAAATCCGATTAAACATCGGAAACAGTTATGTTTTCTGCTCACTCACGTAATAATTTGACGAGGAACTCGACTAGTTTCAAGCCATGCTAGAGGCTCATATTCATGAGCATCATACTGGCAGCACTAGCAGCGCGACAGTCGCCGCGTCGCGGGTCGCGAAATGCTGCTCATGAATATGAGCCTCTAGC